ATGACCCAGAAACAAATAAATGAGTGGCTAGTAGCCATGCAAATACGCCGAATCAATTTATTTGTAATAAATAACTTTTAATCAAGACTTAATTGGGTTCCTAAATAATTACACCTATACATCAGTGTTTTGCAAGCAATATACGGGCTATTTTAGATTACCTATCGGACGTCACGTAGAACTAAAACTTATATTTCCCAGCATTAAAGTTAAAATCATTGATTGGGTTAGACTGTTAAACACAAATGCAATAGAATGAGGTGATAAAACCGCTTTTATTCCCTCTTATTTTGTTCAATGAAGCCACCGGTTATTCAAAGCTTTTACAAAATAATGTTATTCACCGGCTTCATTTCCCGATGAAAATAAAAGTGAGATGTCGAATGAAAGAGAACTACTCCTCCAAAAGTCAAATTGCAAAAATATATGATTAAATAAATTAAAACAAAAAAATATTACCACCTTGTAGTGCTAAAAAATAATAACACCATACTTGAATATTTTAATTTTAAGAACACATTGCAGCAACCAATTTCTTATTTCGTTTTATTATATTTTTATAGGTTTAGTTAGTCTGTACTGTATTATTACAAATACGACCGCAATATAAATTCTCTAATTAGGAAGCAATTTTTATGGTCCCGTGTAAGGTAAAATAATAAAAAAAACAGAGCATAAAGTTGTTATCAAAAGTGCAAAACTGGAGATAATAATTTATAGGCGATTGGTGCTTCAGTGGGATCGATCGCAAATGTGGTTTAAAATATGTATTCCGTAAGCCGGATTTAGGCGCTAGAAGTGTTGTAATTTATTAAAAGGATTGGAATAAATCGTCGTTGCGTGTAAAGAATCGTTGTATCTCAGCTTCGACATCACAGAGCCGGTGAGATTCCCGAAATAATTGCCGACATACTTAAGAGGAGCAGTAAGCAAAGCGAGGTATCTGTAATCTGCACCCTTGTTTCCTTTGCTATTTGCGGCCGACCGAGCCATTTTCAGTCCTTCCTTATCAGCCACCGGTACTATCCCCCATTCTGTCTTTATCCCTTCTTCCGCCAACACTTCATGCGGAATTTCCATGTATAGTGAAAGCTCTAAGGTGCTCTTAACCCCGAGCTGCTTAAACCACTTGTCAATTTACAAGGTGTGGATTTTGGTTTAAGCAGGAGTTGCTCTGTAAATTGTTGCTTTGAACTTTGTGTATCAGTTTAACTGAGTTATTACTGTCTTGGCAACTCCATTAAAATAAATACCCGAGTCGGGAGAGATGAGATCGAAGCGAGAATGCATTTTTCGGCTTCCATTACAATCCATCAATTTTAACATATGGCAGCGAGTGAGTTTCGAGGTTTCGTGTCTGCCGACAGTTAATGTACGCATTATCAGTTCTAATACAAGAACTTAAACACGATAGTCTTCATAAGTAAATGTACCGGAAGACGGATATCTTTGTGCATGCTTAATTGCTGTTTCGATGTTGCTGGTGGAGGGTAGATGGAGATAACGCTGAGTGAATAATGCGAACCACTACGAACTTTGGTCAATACACAAGGTGGTACTACACGAGGCGCTAAATTTCCCACTAATGTCATTCTGAGACACTCTTGTATATTAACAACACAACAAACTAAGAAAAAGCAAGCAAGAAACAAACACAAAGTATAAATTAATTTCACTAACCCTTTTAAAGTTCAGTCCTAGATTTGATTCAAATATTTTGTAAAATGTAGTATAATTTTAATATAAAGTTTCTAACATTTATTTATGTATCAAGAGAATAAAACACTATTTTAATCCCGAAAATGTAAGTGAATATACAAAATGATTAACTTGTCAAATAATATCAAATAATTTACCAAAATATTCAGTTTATTCAATTGCAATTTTAAGGGTAAAAATTGGTATCAAGAAAATTGTTTGAGACAAAAAATGGTTAAAAAATTCAATTCAAATAATTCAAAATAAATTTCAGTTTATTTTAAAAATTAAAATCAATATTTTATTTATTTTATTCCTAAGGGAATAAAGTACCAGATTATTAGTCAAAAACGAGGGAATAAAAGGACACTTTATTCCCTGTTGATAGGAAACAATAATCTGTACTAGATAAATGTGCCAACTAACAATTCTGATATATGTATTATTGTTAATATAATTAAATTCCATTTTTCTGGCTAGTATAACAATGTTGAATAATGAAATATCAAGTTGCGAGTAGATGAATATCGACTAAAATATTAATAATGGATTAAATCCATAATACAATGTTAATCTCACATAATTGCTACTTTTATCATATAATTTAAATAACTTTCCTGTTTATAAAGTTGTGAAGGTATGCATTAAATTTTGACACCAAAGTTTTCTAAAAAAAATATGTATAATCAAACAATGTATTTCTATTTTTTAAGAGATTTCCAAAACGTATCAATAAAAAAAATATTTCTACAATTACAAAACAAAAAAAATGTAGGCTTCAAACTCAGAGTTCAAGATGATTGGCAGATAAAAACCGAATGAATGGATGTACCTACTAAAAATTAAATGTGCGCCATGTCGTCGGTCATCGTCCCTATAATTTGTCGCCACGATAACAAAACTGGTAAATATCCAGGAAACCAGGTCCCTAAGCTTGCGTATGCACAAGTTAGAGCTTAATTTACCCTTTCGATGGTGCGATTTTAAGTAATTTATGTTGCATAAAAACATGCAGTGTCTGCACTACGTGCACGTTGTTCGGCCATGTGTGAATATGATCCCAGTCCGACCCGATAAGACCTGTTAATATTTCTCATTATCCCGTTTTATGACGAGAAACCCTTGTTAGGGTGTTAGGGTTTTACCTCAGCTACATCCTTATCAGTGTATTAGCTCAAGCCGGTCTCTAATCATATTTCTCATATCGACGTGACACAAATAAGACGAGGCAAACTTTCAAACAATTATTGCCGAGAGAAATCTCACAAACTCTTTATTATTTTCATTCTTCTACAATTTTGGTTAATTCCATTTGGAAAAAATTCCAACTGAAGCTTTTTAGCAATTCACACGTTTGAATACAGGAATCAGATTGGAACAGGTTTCGATTTCACATCGGTATGTTTACCAGAATAATGAGGAAAATACGATAACGCGATGAAACTGAATTAAATTTTTGTCTCTTTCGTTACAATAAATTATATCAATCCTCAGGATTTCGGCTCGTTGAACCTATTAGTGGGCAAGCGTTTTTATCGCGTAAAATTATTTCACGAGCCATGTCCTTTGCTTCATTTCTAAGGACCCCTGTTTTAGCTGAACAAATAATTGAAAAAAAAAATATAAATTTAAATATTTAATAAATTGTAAAATTAAAACAAACACAAAAATATGTATCATTAAAAAGTTGAGAAAGATTTGCCCGGCGCATCCACCAAATTTGTATACACTCAGCTATTACAAATTAAATTTCCTCGCAAATAATTTTCTTACATTTTTGAGTAAACAAATGTTTTTTAATTATACTACTTTAAATTAAAAATTTATTAATAAATATATTTTTTCTTGATGTACAGGTGCGCCAGAACTTCCGCCCCCGAGAAAAATGCCATGTAAGGTAAGATACCACGAACATGCAAAGAAATGTTAAAAAAATTCTATCTATAAAAATTTCGAAGTTATGAGAGTTTAAATTTTGCACTTTGACTCTACTTATTTCTGTTGGAAAAATAATTTTTCAAGTTGTTTTTGCTACAGGCTATTCAAAGAGGAAACAAGGAAGCTGTATCCTAAATTGTAACTCTGTTTAATGTTATTTGTGACTTTTATTGACAAAATTTTTGCACCTTTACTATCATCACTTTACGTCAGTATCATTAAATAGACATAAAAAAATGTCAAAAAATAAATGTCAAAATTTTTTAACAGATAAAATGTTCCTAGTATCTTATTTTAATTGATTTTTTTTAGGGTGAGAGTTGTGACACAGCCTGTATGTAAAGTTTAATAAAATGTAAAAGAAATCAATAATAATCGTACATTAAGTTGACACATTTTTCTTTTTATATGTAGACCTAACGTGACAAATCACTATTATAGTTATTGCATACTGATATGTGATCTATTTATTATTTTTTCAAATAAAACGAAGAAATTTAAAATAAAAAGACAAGTTATGTGAAGTAAATACAATAAATCCTTTAAGTATAAATTTCTTTTATTTGTATATCAAATTACATACATGCAAACATGCAGTTTAATTTAATAATTTAATAATTTCATATTTACATAATAATGTAGCAAATTTTTCAATTTATTTATTTTATATTTAAATTTATTGTATTTTAAAATTTCCGCATTTTTTTTCATGTGATTCATAAATGAAAACGTTAGTTCGATTACAACTAAATTCCTGTGGAACATATTGTAGATGTATTAAACACACCACACCTACACATAATCAAAAATCCACAAAGGGATCACATAAGTAATTACAATCCGGTTTACGACAAATAATATAATAGGTACATAATTATAAAATTAGATCAAATCCTGTAAATACGACAGACAGCACGCAAATAGAAAATAGGAAAACACGAAAAATTTTCCACTAATTAAACACATAATGTTATCATGTAAATCCATCTTTTATTCATTGAATTTCTTAAATCCATGTTATTTATGTGACACATTTTGATGAAAAATGGAGCCACTTCATTATAATAATAATAATAATCAATAGAATATTGACCAAATATGTAAATGTGTGAATAATTAAAAAGTGTGTACCTTTATTGATTCAAAAGACAAGTTTGACAAAAAATCAGATATAAATCTTTTTAGTGTTTCTGTCGCAGTAAATAAATTTAATTAATTTCTCGAATAATGATAAGCAAGAAAAAAGATATAATTTGCGATAAAGTTGTTGAAGTTATTTCTAGTTATATTTCGCACAGTGCGTGGGTGAACAAGTGTAAGGCTCGTTAAGTCGCAATGTACCAATTTGCAAAAAACTCACGTACCATACAAGAAGGAGGTGACAAGAAGAACGAAGCACGTTGTGGCATGCATCTCGTCGCCGAGTCAGCAACACATATTTCAGGATATACAAACTAATTCAAGTCAAATGTTGACAAGCAATGCCGAACAAGCCCGTCATAAATGCCTCTGGCGCTCCGAATGATCATAGCAAAGCGCGTGAAAGTTTGTTCAGAGTGTGGGGTGGAACACCCCTTGCAGACAGAGGTCGGTCGCAAACTGCCGGAGTCGGTTTGGAATTGTGCGCCCGGAGTCTCTCCGGAGATCGGCCCGCGTTTGGATTGGCGGAGAAAGCGCACCTCGCCCAATGGGAATAAAGAATAACGCGCAGATTATCTATTTTTCACCTGGTTTTTACAAAAATTTGAACGTGTTTTACGGATAGTTTGAACGAATCGGAATTAAATTCTAATTACAAAGTCCTGAATTTAATAAGCGAAGCCATCGCAGAAACAAAAGTCGAGAAGAAGTGACGAGAATTTTATGCAGAAATGTGATTTGCAAATTAAACTGAAACCAAAAATTTCAGAAAGTCAAATTATAAATCTATACATAAATTTGTCAAACTGTCACTTCATTTCAATATTCGAACCTGTTCTGCTTTTAAGATTGCTGGGCTACAAGAAGTAAATAATTTAAAGTAAATAAGTAGTAACTTTAATTAAAAATATAATCAAATACAATGCAAACATATTTATAAGTAGTTTATTAAATATGGATACATATTAAAATCTCTATTAAATGTTTAGATTTACCTGGATCATCAGCTAATCAATAAAACTGCAAATATTAAATTAACCATCGTTACAGATCAATTAGTGGTTAGTATACAAGGTGATTCTTAAAAAGACCGACAAGATTTTATCACAGCTTTTCAAAAATAAATGGAGACAAACTATACCCTTTTCTCGTTTATATGTTTTAGGAGCAAAATCCCCTTGATCCGTGCCACTTACAGCGTTTATGAATTGTTGCAATGATTAAGTACATTTTCATCAAATTAATACCATGGTTTCCACTACCTGTGCTAATACTCTTTACGAACACATCAGTAGCGTACGCTTTACCTCGAAAATAACAATAAATTTTATTTGGAGAACGGTTAAACAAAGAAATTTTTAAATATTTTTTCCAGCATGTTCTCATTCGATGCTACCAAGGATAAAATTTTGTCGATCTATTTAAGAATCACGCTGTATTAAAGCAGATTTTACATAAATAAAAGAAACTTTTAACAAATACACACATATCCAAATAAAAATATTGAAATCAAAATTACAGCATCTAAAAAAAACTAGAATCTGATTTAGTGAGCAAAACTGACTATGTACCGTGCGATCAAAAAAAAAAATAGTATGCGGTGACTGAAGTCCTTTAAATGGCAATCCTAATTTTTGACAACAAATGTCAGCGGAAACTTTGATAAGTTTGCGTTTTATTAATTTTGACTAAAATAATGTTTACTTTAAAGCAGAAAATTTTTATTGTTGCAAGTTATTACAAATGCTGTACAAGACGAAAACGGTGAATGGCCATTTTCACATACAGTTTGTGTAAAAAAATTCCAGCCCAGATTCCCAGACAATGTATTGCCAACTGTAGAATTTAATGGACGCCTACTTTAATTTATTTTTTTTTGATTGCAAGGTATTAATCCTTGTAAAATGCAAATATTGATTTTAATATTTATATTGTTAGTACACAAGACCAAGTTTCATAATGTTAACCTTGTTAAAATACGGTTCTTTTGAAATACAAAAAATCGCAAAGTTTTTTAAATTTATTTTGTATTTTTTTTATAAAAAACACCCACAAATTATTTAAAATATTATTTTATTCAATATAGGTACAGTACAGCAATGTATCTATTGTATCTAAAGCTACAGATAATTTAAACGCGTTTATGGCTTATGTTTTATTGTAAAAATAATTCGAATTCGACCAAGTACTATGGTTGCCTTGGTATCAACAGTGCTCATTTTAATGTGAGACATTGTTGCTACAATTAACATATGAAATTAAATATCTTTTATTCTTCGACACTGTCAAAATTTACGGTTTTCCTCCCGTGTAAGGAAGTTTTGACAACTGTTTGGCATTTCTCAATACAAAACGTCAAATTATTTTTAACAGATTTAAAGCAAGTTTAAGCCTTGTTGACTCTAATTCAAAGAATAAAAAGTTGTAATCCACTTGTTTGAGTGTAAATCGGACGCTTTATTCCACCTCGTGGATGGTAAACCACTCGTTACACTCGTGATTTAAAAATCCACTCGGTGAAATAAAGAGTCCGATTTACACTCAAACTCGTCGAATAAATAACTATTAATTTATCAATTCTAGACATCAAAAGTTAATTTTGTCAATAGAAAATTTATTAGTCTATAAAATGCAAAAATAAAAATAGGGTGTTCTATTTAATTTTTTATTATTATTTAACGTTTAACAAACTTCCACATTTTGTTAACTTTTCGACTGCAAAAAAAATGTTATAGTCTTAAAGTTGGTACTTTCTCTCTTTACAGTGTATTTTTTTCCAACTGTCTCAACTTTTTGTGTAATAATTTTTAAAAAGAGAATGTTTTCGCCAAGAAAACCAACTTAATTCAAAAACTAAGCAAAATCGACTAATAGAAGTTTAGTTTAAAAACATTGAAATTAAAAGCTACATTCAAAAATTCCAAAAACATGTGTTTCATTTAAAAAAAACATAAGTTTGTATTGTAACTTATTTTTGGGACACCTCGTATAATCAAAAATATTTTCCTGAAATGGGCCCTAGAATATAAATAAAGTCTATAAAATATCAAAATTCCCACTTAAATAATAACTGAGCTACAGAAGACGGGGGCTGAGATGAAAAACCCTGTATGCAACATCATCAGTAACATTAAATAGAGATAAAAAACAAATGTCAAAAATTTTTTGAGAGTTAAAATTTTTTAAACATTTTTTCGTATTCCTAGTATTTTATCTTAGTTAGCATTTTTCTCTGATTTGCAATTTCTGGGAGACCCTGTAAATGTTAATACATAATCGTAAATGTATATGTATATGTACCACTTTAGTTACATTTTAGTTAATATGTCTGTCTATTAAATACATAAATAAATAAAGAATACTAATTGCTCCATAAAATATCTACAACATTTGTGGACTTGATAAATAGTATCATTTCATAAACTATGAACCCTTTACAGAACAGAAATAATATTTTGTAGAATACAATACAATTTCTAGATGTAGGTAAATAAACTCAGTTAAAAAGTATAATTGCAAATTTGTCGCAAGTTAATGTCTCGAATAATTTTGTTGGCTCTCATAAAGCAGCTTTCTTTGCCTCTCGCTCCTTTTAAAGTGTTGTTAAACGATAAAATGAAATATTCCAAATCAGCAATGCTTAAATGAAATATGGAAATAAAGTGGTGTTAGCTTGTTTAAGGATACAGAGGCGCGACAATTTAATTTTTGAAGTCAACCCCAAAGTCATCAAAATTCAGCCCGTGCTTTATATTTTAGCCAAGTTCATCCAATTGTAGAATTTATTCGTTAATGCTATAATTTGAATTTATTTTATATAATTCGCCCCAATTAGTGCACTTTTGGCCTACATTAAGCATATCGAAAGATCTCGAAACTGGCGACCATTAACCTGTCTAATCTGACCTAAAGGGAGTCACATAATGGAATAATCTTGTTCTGAACTTGGAATGAGCGACATGTAGGTGTCGGTAAATTATTACCGCAAATTCACAGTTCGATATTAATATTTAAAACGGCGTGTTAAACCCGAAACTAATTAAGAAAAGTATTCATTTAATTGCTTTCCGCGCGCAATAATATCTCGTCTTTGGGAGTTTCATCGCTGGCCGCGTTAAATTAATGGAATTGTCGACGGTTCTGGCTGTGAAATCTCTCGCGGAGGCTTATCGGCCACTAGAGACCCGGATGAACCGATAATATTATAGAGCTTTGCTCATTATACTCCCTCCTTCCTATTTCTTATCGAGAGCGCCACCCGATAAATAATAACCGGTCGAAATCGATCGCTTAATTCTGCTAATTCCGCAAATTACACACTTTCTCATGTTAATTCCTGCCCACATATCAATTCCGCCAATTCTGCAAATCGTCTAATGTCTCACGATGTGTGTTTATGGAAATTTTCCGGGTTTTCAGCTAGAGCTGAGTGAGCATTCATTAGATATGCCGGTAGTGAAGATAGCGCATCCCTAATGAAAAATCGAAACGTTCACTATCGACAAGGGGACACCTAGTAATTAAATAAAACGATGAATCAACCACCATGACAACTCCAACTTTCCGAACAATCGGAAGCTTTACTTCTCTTATTCAAAATGTTAAAAACTTTCCAAATAATTGAATAAATGCAACAAGAAAGTTAAAAGGCTTTATTACAAAAAGTGAATAAAGCGCTATGAAAAATGCAGCTGAATTGGGCCGCGTTGCTGGAAAACGGAATAAATTCAATTCACACGCGCCCGTTGGTATTTTCCTTCCCCATTGGGGAAATTTTCAGCGTCAACTTTCCAGTGGCGCTCTGTTTGATTTCATACTACATGCACTCCCCTTTGAGACCGCTCTAGTTTGAGAATGTGTTCTCTTTTTTTCGTGAGTCATCTCGCATCCTAAACATAAGAAAAATCCAAACTGGCTTATATGCAAACGGAATGAGGACTCTAAACAGGTCAGAGCCGGAGTGGAAAGAAAGCATCAAAGATACACTTCAAACAGCTTTAAAACAAACTTGAGAGATTCAGATTAAACTTAATTTTGAAACACATTTGTCATAAAGCACTTAACTTTTGTCTGTTCATCTAAAAAGTGAAAGAGAACTTTCGATAAATGTCAAATCATTTATTCGGATGTTGCAAACCTATTCAGACCTACAGGAAACAAATTGTCTATGAAAACCAAAGTCCTAAAACTCAAATACACTTTTTTGTAGATACCTCCAATGGTTCAGGGTACTTTTTACCAAAAACTACAGAATTTCTAAAAAAACATTTTGTACTTTTATTCAAAAGTGCAGAATATTTAGGTATTACCAAAGCCCAGAACGTAGCAATCTTTTTTTAATCAAATTCACTCAAAAACACCTTAATTAAATTTCTTCCAACAACAATACCCATTGTTCTCTTGTTTTAACTCTGTTTTTTTCCAATCCTCATTTTTTATCCTTTAC